GGCCCATGTGATGGCCTGCTGCCGCTTGCGGTAGATCCTCGTGAGCCATTGCCACCATACATTGGCCTCACCATCAAGATAATAGGCTGCGTACCTTACACGATCTGGGCCATCCATCTCGTTGAGCTCGAAATATTGCATTGCCCGATTGAGCCATGCGTCTGGATCGCTGCCCGTGAAGGTGGATAACGTGATGCGGGGCTTGTTGACCTTCGAACGCTCGCAGTAGTTGGACGCCTGTGACTGCCGCTCGTAGTCGTCCTCGCACTCGTACTCTTCACGCCGTCGATCCTCTCCTTCGGGCCGCTCGCGGTCATGTGGCCGTGCGTGATCGTGTTGCCGCGGTGGTGGTAGGCGTGCGAGCACGTTGCGTGACATCTCATCAAAGCGCCTATTCACGGTTTTCATGAGATCTTGCACCGTTGTCTTCGTATTAACGAATCCTTCACCTAGCGTGTCGATGGCTTCGCTCATACCACAGAATTGAACATCGAGATTATCGATCTTATCCTTCATCTCTTTGTTGGTCATGGCTTTCTTCTCTTCCCTACGCTCTTTACTTTGAGGACTCGTGATGATGATGATTTTTGGATTTTTTTTTGAATCGAACGAAAATAAGGGGAAAGAAAAGAAAAGGGAATGGGGTGGGAAAAAGACACACGATCTAACACCTCTCAACGAGAGCACCAATGATGAAGATCTCGTGTCTCGTCTGCCGATAAGCCGCTAACTCGCACCTTGAATCACCGATAGTTTTTCTTCGAGCCACAACAGCGCCTCTTGGAACGAATAAAATTGCAATAGAATTTTGGTAGAAAACTAAAGCAAAGTGGAAGAACAAAAGTTCAGGTTTCTATTCATATAATTGATGATCAAAATAACATAGGGGAATGACCTTTATATAGGCACAAATTATAACTAATCCTAATCTACCTAAGGAACTAATAAAGTAATAAAATATTAGGTATCATAATATAATAAGGAAACCAAATAATCTAGGGATCTTTGGACTTGTCTTGCACTCCAAGTACATCCTCTTTCTCTCTTGCGTGCGACCGCCTCATGCTTGCCACCCGTGCGCGCCACCTCAGTCCACGCCCTAGTCCTCGAGGAGTAGGGCACCGCCTCCTTAGCGTGCGTGTCGCGCCCCCTGGCGTGCGGTGCACGCCTGTGCCTTGGCGCCGTCTTTGCGCGCGTTTTCTCACACTCGCCCCGCGTTGCCGCACTCCTCGAGGATTGAGGTCTCACGCCCCATGCCGCATGCCTCAAGGATTAGGGCGTCCCGCCCGCGTGTGCTGGGACGCTTCGCGTGCTTCGCACGCCTTTACCTTGCACGCCCGTTCCGCACGCGTTGCGCGTGCACGCACTTGCCGTCGGCGCGCATCCGTCCGTGCCTTCACGCTGGCCATCTTCACACGCCCTGCGTGCATTTCCCTCGACAGCGCGCATCTCAGCCGTCTCCCGTGCTAGCCTCTTGCGTCCGTGGTAAGCGCGACTTGCAGCGTTATTGAGCTGCCTAGCCACTTCCGCATCATGCCGGTGAAGCGCGCGGCAGCAGTGTTGGGTTCGTTATACCGTACGGAACAGAGTTTACAGCGGAATTTAAAAATTTTATAAGTATTTATCTTATAAATACTTATTCCGTACATAAGTATAACGATATTA